GGACAGCACTTAACAACAACAATACCTTCTGCTTACTTTCTAGAAAAGGGAGTTCTCATTTTCAGTTACAAATTATGTATCTGGCCCTGTCCAGTTTCATTTAAGAAGTGATTTCCCTATGAATTAACAGTATTCCAGATTTCTTGGCATAGATGAGCTAATGCCTCCAGTGCTGTATCAGTTTGTTGAAAGATTTCATTTTGTAGTCCATCAATTCCCAGAGCCCTGTTCTTTGCAAGCCTTCAGTGCACATTGGACTTCTTCCTTCAGTACCATGAGTTTGGGCTCCAATTTTTGTAATTATCCCATCATTCATCACCTCAGTAAACTCCCACATGACAGTTGGGCCATTGGCTAAAATTCTAGCCCTTACTGGAGTTATTATTTGGGATCAATCTATATACTAGAGTTCTATATACTAGAGAACTAAAAGAGACACTCTTATCTTAGGTAATTTAATATTTGTTTAGCATCCCTACCATAAATTTTGATTCAGAAAGGTAATGACCACAATTCTCATCAACTTTTTAAGATTTTAGTTCATGGACCAAATCACTGGATGGGAAAAAGATGAAAAGCAGGACAGAATTGGGATGAAGAAGGGCAGTCAACCACATTCCCTCTTGCCCAAAGTTCACCTGTGATTTGTCTTCATTAGATACTGAGCTAGTCAACTTACCTATTTTTAAAATGAATTTTCATAGTTGGTATTTTTCAAGATATTGGTCCATTTCATCACAGTTTTAGGATTTGTGGGCACAGAGTGATTTATGGTATAATTTATTCTCCGTTTAATATCCACAGGGCAATGTTTCACTGCTAGGGCAATGTTTCACTGCTAGTCATAAAATTTTCAGCTATGACTAACCCTTTGGCTATGGCTCTGTTGAATAAGTACTGGACCATAAGGTCAGTTGGAACCTCAAGGTTGGTAGTTCAAATACACCAACCACTCCTTGGAAACCTGATGGCACTTAACAACAACAACAGCTTTTCAACTAAAGCAAACAGAAGAAATGAGGAAGTTAAAGAGCTGAACAGAACATTTCAAAAGGCAACTTGAGAAAACAAAGTCAAATGGTGGTGGTGGTGGTGGTTATGTGCTGTGTAGTTGGTTAGACGAAGTCAAGTATTATAATGAAATGTGCAAACACCTGGAGATAGAAACCCAAAAGGGAAGAACATGCACGGCACTTCTTAAACTTCAAGAACTGAAGAAAAAGTTCACGGCACTTAACAACAACAATAAAGACAGGTGACCCAACAGAATGAGGCAACAACTGGACACTATCATTAATCTCACATACAAGTAAAATTTTGCTAAAAATAATTTAAAAATGGCTGCAACACTGATAGGGAGCTGTCAAGCCATATTCAAATGAGGACATGGAAACAAGGGACATCAATGCTAATGTCATATATATCTTAGCTGAAAGCAGAAAATACCAGAAAGATGTTAACCTGTGCTTTATTGACTATGCAAAGGCTTTCAACTATGTGGATTATGACAAACTATGTACAACATTGCAGAGAATAAATATTCTAGAACACTTAATTATACTCATGAGGAACCTGCAAATAGACCAAGAGACAGTCATTCGAAAAGAATAAAGGAACACTAGTTGTTAAGCCACCCATAGCAACCCCGTACAAGGTTTCTGAGGCTGTAAATCTTTACGGGAGCAGAAAGCCTCATCTTTCTCCCGTGGAGCGGCTGATAGTTTCGAACTGCTGACCTTGCGGTTCGCAGCCCAATTCGTAACCACTACCAGAGCTCCTAAACACTGAATGGTTTAAAATAAGAAAAGATAAGTGCCAGTGTTGCATTCTTTCCCTGTTCTTATTCAGTCTGTACGTTGACCAAATAATCTGAGAAGCTGAGTTATATGAAAAAGAACAAGGCATCAGGATTGCAGGAAGATATGCAGATGACACAACCTTGCTTGCTGAAAGCAGAGAGGACTTAAAAATACTGACTAGTGACGATCAAAGATCACAGTCTTCAGTAGGGGTTGCACGTCTATGTAAAGAAGACAAAAATCCTCATCACTGGACCAATAAATAGCATTTTGATAAATGGAGAAAAGACTGAAGTTGTCAAAGACTTCATTCTGCTTCGATCTGAGAAATCACCACTGGAAACAGTAAATAAGACATCAAATGATGTACTGCATTTGGCAAATCTACCGCACAAGACTTTTTAAAAATGTTCAAAAGAAAAGATGTCAGTTTGAGGACTAAGGTGTGCCATAGTATTTTCAATAGTCTCATATACATGTGAATATGTTGGACATATCCAATACAAGTTGGACAGTGAATAAGGAAGACCAAAGAAGAATTGATGTATTTGAATTACGGTGTTGGTGAAGAATATTAAAAGTACCATTGACTGCTAGAAGAATAAACAAAAATCTGTTGTAAGAAATACAATCAGAATGCTTAGAATCCAGGATGGCGAGACTTCATCTCTCATACTTTGGACCTATTGTCAATAGGGACCAGTCCCTGGAGAAGGACATCATACTTGGTAAAGTGGAAGATAAGCAAAAAGAGGGCAACCCCCATGAGATGGGCTGGCACAGTGGCAGCAGCAATGGGCTCAAGTTTAACAATGATTATGAGAATGGTGTAGGGCTGAGCAGTGTTTCGTTCTATTGTGATAAGGTCACTGAATCGGAACAGACTGGACAGCACCTAACAACAACAGCCTTTCAGAAGTGGTCTGCCTTTCCTTCTTCCTAGTCTGCCTTAGCTTGAAAACTCTGCTGAAACCTCTCCACCATGGGTGACCCAGAAGTATCGTGATATTGGCATTACAGTTTCTACCATCACAGCAACATGCAAGATTCCCCAGTACAAATAACTGACAGACAAGTGGTAGAAATTGCTCCCTAGACTAGACAATCTCCTCTACTCTCGTGATCTCATTTCATATCTACAAACTGATAGCTCACAAATGTCTATCCCTACAAGCCACACAACTCATTAAAATCAGAGCTAGCTGCTTAAATAGACATAACCAGACTGTGCCCTTCCACTTCCCACATGGGTCTTTCTTTGCTATCCAGCAGTGAGCACCTTCTTCCTACCCCTTGGACAGAAGCCATACCAGCCAACCTACACATTAGTGAACAGTTCAGGTGCTTTACTGCCTCCACATCTTGGTCTATTCTGTTATTTTGGATGAACTCTGAGTCATGCTTCCAAACCAGATTCAAAAGTTACCTTCTCTATAAGTGTCCAAGCTGCACAGCATGACAGCTTATCATATGTAATGGATTTTACTCCCCCAATTAACTTTAAATCCCTCTGTAATAATATTTAATACTTCTTGGGCACTTACAAGTGACAGGACCTATGCTAAGCACTTTATTGGCATTAACTCATTCAATCATCATATCACTCACTTGAAGTAGACAATCTGCTTATAACCATGACTTGCAGAGTTCATGTTACTTCTTTAAATTAACGTATCTAGCAAGTAGTAGAACCAGATCAGAATCTAGATTTTCCCAATGTCATCATCCTAAAGTCTTAACAACTATGCCATGATACTACATACTTGGTAAATCCTAGGCTCTTATTTAAAAAA